AACAACAAAAAGAGGAAACAAAAATAAATTACCTGGATCGGAAAGATAGTGAATCAACACAGTAGTGAATCGATGGAGAGTGAATCGATGGAGAGCGATGGAGAGTGAATCGATGGAGAGCGATGGAGAGTGAATCGATGGAGAGCGAAGGAAGGAGAGTGTTAAAAAATGATTTAGTCTTGAATCTATTTTGAAGAACAACATCAGGGAAGAGGGGGTTATATGTATAGATGAGTTTGTGATACATCAAATCGGTTTTGAAGACTGTTTGAGAAGAAATCTGTTCGATTAGATCTACAAGCTGATCAAGGTGATACATCAAAACCACCATTGTTATCTATTCGAGGTCTGTGAAAGAAGAAAGYTAACTCTATCTAATCTACATTTGTTTTGGCGCTTGAGATCAGATACGTAGAAAAGGGATTTTTAGAAGTCTGTAAGAAAAAGCACGCTCTGAARCATTCCCTTAAAGATTTGGTGTTGTGGAAATCCTTGCATAAAAGACTTGTACATTRTGCAAAATAATTTGTAATTAAGAGTTTTTTGAAAATCATGCATAAAATGGTTGTAACTTGTGTTTAAAGAGTTGTATTTAAGACTTTGTCTTAAATGCTTATATATGTAGTATAGATATACTAGGTTCGAACACGTGTATTACACGGGGTATTTTGCAAGAATGAAATGAAAGCAATATCGATTTTGTAAAGAATTTATAATAACATTAGTAAATATTAACAGCTTGTAAAACAAAATTTGTAACAAAATCTAGATGAAATTTGGCAAAGGTAAGTAATTAAATTATTAATACAATAACAATCATGTATCATAGATTACTTAACCTTTCATACTTAATGTAATACAGAGGTTGTCTTTCACCTTTGCCTTCAATTACACATGTTTTTTCATTCCACTAAGAGCTTGTCTTATTCACACTTAGGTGTAGATTGTTAGATCCCATTTTGTAAAAGTATAAGTAAGAGGCTATCTTATTTAAAGATTCGGTGTTGTATTCCAAAGAAGAGCAAGGCTTGAGCGCACATGCAGAGCTTAAGTGCTTCATGTAGAGTTGCACATCATACAGAGAGCCTCTACATAGTACATCCCGAGCTTCGATGAGACTCGCCTTTTCATTCCTATAAGAGTTTGTCTTACTTACACTTGGTTGTAGATTTTTAGAGCCCATCTTCTGAAAGTATAAGTTTGAAGTATGTTATTGTAGTTTTTAGGACTTATTTTTTTTAACCGAGATGGACCAATAGTTCTCATGCAGGAGACATCAAGGGACAGAGTGTTTACTCAAGAGTTAAGTGTCTCATATAAGGAGCCTGTGCTGTATTCCAATTAAGATGAACGCTTAATTGCAAAAATGGTTAAATGCCTGATGCAGAGGTTCAGTCCAGAGACAGAGCTTCTGCATAGTTCATGCAGAGCTGTTTAGTGTCCTTCGCTCTCGTGCATTACAGTGGCTATTTTGCAATAATTAAAAGAAAGCAGTATGTATTTTATAAATAATCTATAATAATATGGGTTAATATTAAAAGCTTGTATAACAAATTTATAAAAAATGTATAGGAAATTAGGTAAAGGTAAGTACTTAAAATATTAATAGAATAAGAACCATGTATCATAAATTACTAAACACTTCTTTATATACAACATTTGTTGTTCTACTATCAATAATACCATCATCATCCATAATTAGTACTTTCAAACTTTGCTTGCTTTTAACTCTAGATAAAGCAACATATAAATGACCATGGGTGAAGATCGGTTGTCTTAGAAATAAACCAACTTTTGATAATGATTGTCCTTGGCTCTTATTTATGGTCATGGAAAAATATACAACAATTGGAAATTGTCTCCTTTGAAATTTGAATGGAATTCTTTTGTCTGTTGGTGTCAAAGACATTCTTGGAATGAATGTCCAGCTTCCATTACTGTTTCCAGATATAACCTGTGCTTTTATCACTTGATTTCCTAATGTTAACACCAACAATCTAGTTCCATTACATAATCCATATTTCTGATAAATATTCCTGAGTAACATGATAGGAACACCAATTTTTAGTAAAATCTTACGGTTTGGTATCCCTGATAATTTAAGACCATTTAAGACATCAGGAGAGTACAAAGTTTTATCAAACTGATCATGAAAGTGCTCTGATTCACATAGCGTATCTGAACTTAAGTACTCTTTTTTCATCTCCTGGGAATAATGATAGCATACAATCATTTATTTCTTGAACGACTTCATTTTTTGGTGCAAGTATTGCTCGTTCTTGAAAATAAGTTGAGTTGTTGATGTTTTCAAGAATTGAGGGATAGACAAATTCTATTTATGCAGATATAGGATTGACGGAATCAGTAATGAGAAGATCATGAGGTATCTCAATAACTGCCTCACCATCATTATCACTTCCAACTTTTCTTTCTCCTAAGTCCAAAATCCATTTTGCCAAATCCCTTGTTTCTTCAATTTATGAACTCTCACTGTTTGCAGTTAGCCTCATGTTCTTAGTTAACCTTAGGACTTTGCATTTTTTCCAAATGTAAGATGAGCTTAATGATGCATTTACAATGTCTTGTCTACCTGCGTTGGGAATAACCGGCATAATTTGTTTGAAATCTCCTCCAAAAACAATTACCTTCCCTCCAAAAAGCATTTGCGAGTCACCACTGCGTCGAGTATTGAAAATATCATTCATACTTCTATCCAATGCTTCAAATGCATGCTTATGAACCATTGGTGCCTCATCCCATATCATCAAAGTAGTATTTTTTATTAAGCTCACATCACTGTCTGGCTTTATGTGGCAAAGAGAATATTCATTGATAATGAGAGGGATTTGAAAGCGAGAGTGTGCCGTTCTGTCACCGGTAAGAAGTAAAGAAGCAATACCACTGGAAGCAAAGTTTAAAACAATTTCTCTTTTAGATCTTATTGATGTAGCCAATGTCTTCTATAAGAATGTTTTACCTATTCTGCCATGCCCATAAACAAAAAACACACCACCTTTGTTCTTTTCAACAATGGTCATGATTTTGTTATACACACCTCTTTGCTCATTTGTTAGAGCAGTTATAAGTGTTTGAAACTCATCACCTAAATTTTGATGGTTATAATCCAGCTCTTCTGCAATCAAACGGTTGTTTGAAGATTCAAGACAATCATTATCAGGATAAGGCAGAGTAGTGAAGTTTCTCAGTGTGGAATTGTTATGGAGCAAAATATTTTCAATTTCAAACAAAGTTAGATTCTTCACTTGTTCTTCATTGAGAGATAAATTTGTAAAAATATAATATAAATACAATTTAAGGAAGAACATAGAGGTTGACAAAGACAAAAACAATAAATTCTTTACTATTTAGATAATAGTTGTATAAATCTATGCTTAACATATAGAATTAACATACCTGGAGACTGTAAAGCAATTCGTTGATTGTACATAATGCCATCTGCTAAGTATTGTCATGTTTTTTTCCCAAAATTTTAGGTCTAGATAGACTGTTTGAAATCAGCATGGTTGCAAATAAGAAGGGTAGATAAAAACCAGGTGCGGTTAAATTTGCCTCTTCAATGGCATCAATATATTCCTTGTCATCATCTAAAAGCCCAAAAGCGTAACATGCATTTCTAAAAGTAAGAAATGTTTTTCCATTTACTGTACGAATGTCTTCGAATGATTTAGGACCTTTGACTTTATTCAGAAGAATTCTTAAATAATATGCTTCTCCTACAGTAGGAGAAACTGAATGAATCCGTCCAATTGAGAAGCATTTTTTCCTTCGATCCCAATGTCGCTCCTCCAATTTCCACACAAACTTTGTAGGGAATTCAACGTAAGTGGGTTCTCGTGCTTCTTGATAAATTTGATTACAATTCGTCCAAGCTAAGAATATTGAGGACGCCACAGATGGTCTGTTTAGGACATTTTCAATATCATCTTCAACACCAAACACCACTTGTTGTTGTCCTGGAAGATGAAAAGGAAGTCTTAAAACAGAAGAAGTCTTGTAATGAACATCGTACCCAAAAATACGCCATGAAGCTTCACATGCAGAAAGGTATCTACAATAATAATATTGCTTTATTGCATCAACAACATTAATAGTGACCTTATCATTACTGTTTTCTACAATAGCAACATTGGCTCTATCTGGACCTTTGTTGATATATTTGAACAAATATTTGATTGAAGAAGCCTGATTGCACCACTCAACATTAATGTGTGATTGATATATTTTCAACAGATGTTTGCTATATGGAACGACATTTCTGTTGTCTAGTTTAACACCTGATTTCTTAATAAAACGTCCGTCATCTCGTCTGCGGTATACAGGATAACCATTAACATCAATTGAAGTGTGTTCAGAAAATTTCTTCAGGTACTTTTTTGAACACTTTCTATCAATCATGCATGGATAATTAATGTTCTCTTTGCCACAAGGTCCATAGGTCATGAACTCTTTTATAACTGAGTACAAATCTAGATCTCTGTTTTTGTCTAGGATCTCAGCTGAGATGATAGGATAAATTTGTTCAACAGTAGGTAGTTTGAAATCACGGTGCATAAACAGACAGATATGATTGTAAGGCAATCCATGCTTTTGAAATTCAATTGTATAAACAACTACAAAAATGTGACAATTTAAATTAATAAAGATATAACTGAAGTATGAAGAAATATGTTGATACTATTATCATAGAATAAACATACTTGCTTGACGTTTGCCGAATAACTCATTGTCTTTCAATTCTTTAATAAGTGCATCAAGCTTGATCATAAATAAACGACAAAGAATGTCAGGCTTGTCTTCTGGATTTAGCCTGGTGTCTTTAACAAATCTTCTAATTTCTGGCCATTTAGGATTACATGTCATGGTTTGGAATAAGTATGGATATCCATACCATTTACAAAGGGACATTGCATCCAAATAATTTTGCATCATGTACCGAGAACCACCGGTGAAAGAAGAAGGTAGTATAACACGTTGTCTAATGTATAAAGCATCCGACTCTCCTTGCTCTTGTACATTGCATAAATTATCATATGTCTCACACCTTAGGGCTTTCTGCTGCTTATATATGTAATGCAATCTCTCACTTTCAATCACTGTGTAACCATCAACAATAAATTGTTGTAGAAGCCTCCTTGCATTGGGAAGTAATGAAAACATATTTCCCCTATCTTGAAGTTTGAAGGCGAAGAGCTCCCTCATTGTTACAGTTGCTCTTTTACTTTTGCTTGAAGATGTTACCTCTCTATGGGGAATGTCAACTCTGTAGCCATCTTCTTCGTATCAAAACAACAACGGATATTGAAGAGGAAGGTACGCAGAATGTAATTCACTTATTTGTTGTAAATAGCCTGTTTGATGTTTTACAATGATATCTCTTTTCTCAATTGTACCACCGTCATCTCCAACAATTAAAGCTGCAACCTCTGAAGCAGTTGGAAGGTTATATGTTCTTCCATCCTTTTCTCTTCTTCCAATAAGCCGTAAGTTTAGCTTGACATCAGGGTAGCATTCAAAACAATCTCTTGCCATTCTATAAGACTTCACCAAAACATTTTTTGCATCTAGTATGTTATTTAAATATTGAATAATCTCAATATCAAGGGAATCAAAATTTGATGTAAAGGCTTCTTTTTGTTCACTAATTAAATAATAAAAAATATAAATCAGAGTGACCGTTATTATAACCATACTATGGAATTCAAATAAATTTATTAAGAAGTATATGAATAAGGATGAATGTATACCAGAATGAACTGTGTCTATTTGAAACTTCATTCTCCATATCATATATGTACAATTGAGAGAATTTTGGTTTGGATCCATCTGGTGGTAGAAGACTGCCCATCCTATGGTAATTTTGACTGTTAAGCCTGTATATGTATGGTGCATCTCCACTATTAATGAAAGAATCAATTCTCCCACCCATTGACGTAAATGAGAATATTGAATTATAACGACGAATGTTCTTCATGAAGTATTTGATTTCCGAGTCCTCACAACCGAAAAGATTTACGTAAGCAGTACCCATCGCTTTCTCTTTCGAAAGTTGAACTTTGCCGTAAAGACAACAAAGGGAATAACTTGTTTTCATCCCACATTTTTTCCCTCTAAGAGCTTCATCTCTCCATACTCTGTTTAATAAATTCGAAACCAATAACTATATGTAACTGTTAAATAATTGATTAATCAAAGGTTACCTTCAGATATTCCTGCAATTATGTTTATAGCTGTTACTGGATCATCCAATTCTTCATCTGATGCAATGTCAATTATTGGTATATTAGATACATTTACAGTCTTCTATCGTAATCTATGTTGCTCTGCTGATAACCTCACCATGGAAGAAGTTTGCTCTATTGTCGATGAAGGCATTGATGGAATGGCGTTAGAACGTAACCAACAGTGTCTATTTACATGAAGACTGGCTATTTGAAATATAAAAATTTACGTAATGTAAAACATGTGTTAGAATAGAAATTGTATTGGAATCATTAGTTTATGTTGGATCTTAAATTCAGCTTTGATATTGATCTAATACTCTAGAAAAGCTCTTGAACAATGAAGTGCAKCGGAAGTAATAATGAGAGCAAAACAGAGTATTAAAAACACACAGTATTGATGAAGAAGATGAACACAGAAGAATTGCTTCAAAGGTTTTTCAATTGATTCAATTGAAAAATTAAACGATTACAATACAGGAAGGACCACCAATTACAAAGATCCTATCCGCTATTTATACTAGTTCCTAACGACCTTAGAGACCAGATCTTGACGCGTGTCTTCATCTGAGCCATCCAAATAAAATCGATTATTCCCTAGTCATGTGAGAAGCACATGCGGCTAACAACCTTCGTAAACTGATGGAACAGAAACTTCACAGAAGATGAAATCCGCAGACCCTCTATGAGACATCTCAGAGGCTCTCCTGTATTGACTTGCATGTTCTATATTACAGAGGACTATTTTCCAGAACCTCTGTGAGATATACCAGAGGTTCTGCCACTCTTGACCGATCAAACGACTTCTGTCGTTAGTCCTCTGTGGTCTTCTGTGTAGTTATCCCTCTGTCAAGACTTGCAGTATACTTTTTCTATACTTTTACAAAATAGGAAAAATTGAGCTAACAATCTTCCCCTAAGTATGAAAAAGTAATTTTGGGAAGTTTGGTGCAAGAATTGACTTATGAAAAAATACAAGAGGAGATTAATCTCATCCTCTGAAAAGGAATTACAATACTGAAAGAATTAAAAGATAGTGCAGGCCTACACTGTTACAAGAGATTACTCCACATCAGAGTTTGGAAAATCGTCTACGGCATATTGTAGACCTTGAAAATCCATTCTCTGAAGGAGACTTGTATCTTGATTGTTTCCAGAAGGTTGGTCACTTCATCCGCCCTTATTCTCCCTTTCTGCACCTCTGTCACCACCAAGTTGAACACCCACTCGAGAGACTCTGTGGAATACTTGTGCGTCTCTTTTGGATCGAAAAATCTTAGAATCCCATCCTTGTATAAGAAAACAAACCCAAAGATGTGATTGTGGACAATGGTGTTGGGATGAAACCTAAGCAGCCAACTAGGTCTGTTATTTGGAGGAGAAATTTTTAGATCTGGCTGGGCCAACCTCATAGCGATGTCGAAATCTTTCTGGCTGTAGAATTTGACTTGAGCGCGCATTACCTCAATCAGCCTTCTGAGAGAAATCGAATATGTTGACCTCCTCTCCATGTATTTGTTCAAGATCTTGTGTAACAATATTAGGTCAAATACGCAGAGATTGTGGAGGTCAGCATCTACGAAAGAGTAAAGGTTACCATCATCCCTCTTCACCATGTATTAAGTGTATAGCACAGTCTTCTTTAGCATAGTGCACGGAGAAATGGTTTCGAGAGAAGTGATCACATGCTCTGAGAAGACATGCTGTGGTGGCCTGGTGAGTTTCGAGAAGTGGAACTTTGCAATGGCAGAGGGTATTTCTGTTAGCTCTGGGTCATAAGGGGGCTCTGTGTCCATCGATGAGTAACGCCACCGCATAATCTCTTCAACAGTGGTTACGGGCTCTGTGCGCACCCTTTGTGTAGGAATCTTGTTCATGGATTCAATGATCTCAGATACCCTCCCCACCATGGCAGACTCTGGCGTTCTGGATTCTTCTTCGAGTATAGGCCTCTGGGTAGACCCATCTGGTAGGATTGGCTTGACAGTTCCTATCAGAGTGTCAAACGTACCTGTGGACATTTCTTCCGGTATTTTTGCAAGTTTGGAAGAAGAGCCTTCTCCGACTCTGGGGATGGGGGCTCTGCCCTTTTTCGCTTGTGCCTCTGCCAAAGAAGCCCTTAGTGCTCGAACAAGATCAGGGTCATCATATTCTTCTTCATTGACCTCCTCTAGCGTGTCAGAGCTTGACCCCTTCTGTGGTGACTCCTCTACTGCTTTACCCTTGCCTTTCCCCTTAGGCTCTGGAGATTTGTCTTTTGAGAATAGGGCAGCAGCAGAGTCCACTATTTTTAGTGGTTTGGCAGAGGTTGTCTTCTTTGGTTCTGTCTTTTTCACCCCATCATGACGATCAGGGTCATTGCCTCCCTGATCATCATGGATTCGAGTGGCTTCTGTCTTGCATGTAGTGAGGGGAGCCTTCTTCAAACGCCTTAGAACTTTGGAAGCCGGCTTCTCCATCTTTTCAATGACCATCTCAGCATTCACAGAGGCATTGTTGATGTCCATCTCTGTGGCCCATTTCATTTTAGAGACGCAGCGATAGATCTCATTTCTGAAGTTGTTACCCTCTGCAACGAGTTTCTTTGTGCAGTCTCTTATTGATTCGTTGGTTGCTCGGGCTTCCTAGAGAAGATGGTCGTTGTATTTTCGCACGGTCTCTCCAAGGGCTTCAACCATTGCGTCTAGCACTCTGTGAGTGGCTAGATGGTTAATGTTAGCCTTGGAGGATGAAGAATCAATGCCATAAGTGACCACAGAGGAGAACATCTCTTTGATCTCATCCTTGAAGGCAGAGTAGTCCGTGTAGCCGGCGGAAACTATGTCTGCAGCGTATTGGGCGGCAACCTCTGTTAATTCTRTTTTGAGCGTGTGGATTGAAGAGGGGTTGAGAGACAGTGCGCTGAATGCTTCTGAAAGATCATCTTTTTTGAGGACAGAGCTCTGAAAGGCTGATAAAGTCGCCTTGAGTTCAGAAGTTGTGGAAGTCAACTCCTTCAGAGCCTCTGTTAGAGGTATAAGAGCCTCTGTCGCCGGTGCGGAGGAGAACAAGCTTTTCAACTCATCCATCCTCTTGAATACCCCTGTGGCGAAGGTTTGTAACTCCTCCTTCGTCACATAGGTACTCGGGGAACCTAGATCACCAACACATGGTGACCTAGTAGCCTTGGAGTGTAAGGCGCCCTCAGTGACTGATTTTACGGTGTCATCTCGGGGACTTCCACCAGATCCTCGGACATCCCCAATTGGAGAGCCTACTGGTGTTCTGTCGATTTCGTGCCTAATAGGTTCAGAGCCTAATTGGGTAGAGGGATCGAGTAGAGACTTTGGGCGTTCTAGACCCGTAGCCTCTGTGACTCTCTCGCATGCCTCTGAAGCATGACTTGGTGGTTCAGTCATGTGTGGAGGGGCAACTGATGCCTCTCTTTGTAGTGTCGAGTCCTTGGGCGAATAGACTCTTTTTGTAAAACCACCATCCTTTTAAGCATTCGATTGTTATTGTACTAAGAAACGGAAGATGTCTGTGACGATAATAAATTTATAAGAAACAAATGCTTACATAGATGAGGCGGTTATTAAACCGTAAAGTACAACCGTAAGTGCAACAAAAGTTAACAAACTTCCTATCAGAATTTTTTTTCTAGATTTGTATTTCAGAGTTAACTTTCATACTTCCCTGTCAGAGTTAATGAGCAGGGCATAAAAAATTTAAGTGTTTCATGCAGAGCATCACTCCACACACAGAGCCTTACATAGTACATTTATGCCTCTGAGTCTTTTACTCCCATGGAATGCGCACATGGTTCAGTATTTCCCACAATACCTCTAATTAGCCTGCGAAGTCAATATGTTATTTCTCTTTTTCTAAGTCTGGTGATAAACTCTGGAATACAGCAAGAGACAGAGCTCTTACAAAAGAGTTAAGCATCTCATATATAGATTCATGCTGCAGTTGAAGGAAGATCAATGGTTGAATGCCAAA